ATATCTCTTGGACGGTTAGTAGATTCTAATCCTTTTACCTAGTGGTTACGAAATGCAAATTGCCAGGCTAAAGTGATCTGCCACAGCGCTTTCATATCGGATCTTTGTGAGTTGCGGTAAATTGCGAAGAGTTCTCGATTTCCTCATTTTTATATCGCGGCTCCCACTATATATCTAATCTACCTAGGTAACACAAGTAGGATCCGAACTCAAAGGTTAAACATATCAATTCCGGAAATTTTTGTTATCAATAAATTAGAAGCCGTTAATAACAGCACTCGTCAGGAAACCTTAAAGAAGGATGGTATTCCCACACGGTGAGATGGGGTATATACTTAATCACTCAGGCTATAGGTGTACTTTGGTGCATGTACGCGCCACAATGATTTTCAGTACCGGTACGCGGGAAGCGCCATGCAAATATGCGTACCGCTAAAGTCTTCGAAATCACACAGCTTTTATGCTTTCATACGTATACGAGTTTCTTCATGGGGGAATATCTACACGCGGAGAACGAATGACTTGTATATGTTGCCAGTCAAAAGATGGCAATTAACATCGCTGAAAGTGAATACCTGTCGAAATCTCTCGCATTATTTTATACAGAACACAAAAAATGTCTCTAGACTATTCCGTACGGTGCATTCCACACGCGTACGGAAAACCGCTGATAAGTCTTTCCTCGCACAGGCTTACACAAAACCCAATCAACTCAATCACCAAGGAGGAAAGGGTACCGACTCTATCAATTCCTGCCAGCGCTGCCGCAACCAGTCCCTTCGTCCTTGAAGCTCTCGTACCTACATGCATACCTAGTGTACATGTCAGTAGGTAGAGTACAGAATACCTAAGACCCTGCATAAAAAAAGCGAAAGTGAATGGATCTGATACATGTGCCAATCATGGTCCACATGTATTTTTCTTTTTTCTTCTTTTTTTTTTGAATCCACAGTCGTGGGCCATGCATGCAAATCACTCCAACCGAAGGCCGGGCCAGGAACAGATTGCATGGCAGCTAGCTTGGCTCGCTGAAAGAAGAAATAAGTGCATGATCCAATGTATTTGTCGAATTAGCCAAGGTATTTACTGGACTCGGCAAAGATGCTCTTAGATAATTCCGGGTTCACGCTCGGAGTGAAAGCTCTGCTCGGGCCACGCCCAAGGTGTAGTCCTCGGACCAGGCTAAGGCCCGTTGATACTTCATTCGATATCCGTCACGCCACCGCTTCACACTAGACAAAAAAGAGACCTTATTATGACATTCTGCGTGACAGACAACAGAACCGACGATCGGTTTCCCAAGCTAGAAACACTGCCCACATATTTTCTCGCCAGATACCACGCGTCCCGACCCAATTAAACACGATCCTGATAACCTGCACAGCCTCATGAAGACCCGACGGGTATGAACAAATATCTGACTAAACTTATCAAATATTACAATCCAGGAAAGCAATGAAACACATTGTTGATTCCTCAACAACACACGATAAATTCAATTGCACAAAGCCTTTGTAAAATTGTGCTTTTCTAGGCCCTTGCATGCGCATCTAGAACATTGCATGATTACAATCGAGCTGCAGGGAGAAAATTTTCAGGACAAACGGAGATTAAATATCGGGAAAATCTTATTAAGACCAGCTGCGAAGGTGTAGATTTTGACGTATGACGTGTCAACTGCCCTTCGGACTGGAGTTATGTCGGTAGATAACACAACACGATATATGCCATGTTATGCAGGTACATACTAGCTAGTATCTTGGACTTCTCGTGAGACTTCAGAGCAACATCGACATATTTATCTAACATTACCAGGGAGTAGAAAGAGTACAATTGAATATTAAAACTGTGACTACTGATCGATTATGCTTACTATCTGAGCTATGTAGGTGTTCACATACAGATCTATTTCAGCACAGTACAAACCGAGAACTTCTCAGTTTAGAAGCACCATACAGCTGTACTGTATCACCCGTAAAACGTGCCTAGGGGTAGAAGAAACAGATATACTACCTACATGACGATGCATTGCTGGCGCCTTAAGACACTTGGATTGTATCCGTTGTCGGGGGTTCTCGAAATTCGAATGTATAAATCGAGGTGGCTCTGTATTATACGGAAGTTTCCGCGATATCGTCCAACTCAGAGTGTGTGCTGCAGAAAACGAACTTCCAGATTATATTCTCTGTACTACATGGTTATGATTTTTCCTCCGGTGGTTGGTCGACTCAGAAACTGAGATCAGCCTTAGATACCGCCTTTAGTGGCTACATAATTTTGATTAAATCCAATACTACTATAGCTACAGTTCGCGAGTTTAAGTATAGTTAATTCTAGAAGTGCTATCTGTATTGCTGGGGGGTGTAGACACCTGATGGGCAAGGCAGAGACCGAGTCAAATTCACACGAACGAGAACGGATTCGAAGTGGTTCTAGATCTGTGGGCTGATAGTTCTCAGATCGGGCGGGGTACTCTAGTGCTTCTAGATTGCAAATTAATGTTAATTAGGGCTGCACCCCGCAGTGAAAGTAAAAAAAAAGGCAAAAAAAAAAACAGGATTTCTTTTTCTTTCTTCCTTTTTTTTTTTCTCGCTGATGGTGATGATGACGCTGAGACGTTGGAAACAAAGTTCTCAATGGGAGGGCATATATCCAAGGTGAAACTAACGTCTGGGATTTGTCTCAACTCCTTCTGCAGTCATCCAGGAAGCTAAAGTCGGAACAAGTTTTGTGCGCAGAAACCCGTGAGCATAGTAGTCGTAGCGGCGCGCGAACCATGGCCAGCTACTCGTAGAAGTACATGTTGTTACGTGCGCAGTAGATAAGCGTACCACGAAACATCGTACACACCGTGAGAAGTGGGTCGCAGAGAGTGACAAGAGGAAAATTCGAGTTGTGGCTATGCCTGTCCGCCGTTTTCTGCCTTGACGTGTAGATATGCATTCTGTTCGATCATGGGCGTCACATATGTAACTTCACACCCGCAGTGAAGGTCGGAAAATAAAGGAAGGTCACTAGTAGTACATGTCTGCAGGGGGTGGACAGATGAGATACTCTACGTACCTACATGTATGTACATGTAGGTACCAAATGGGGTGCTGATCATGAACGGAGACAAGATCTCGGGACCGACGGCTCAACTTGAAATTCTGGAATCCAGGGGAGATAAACACATACATGTAATCTAGCTAGAATGATGTGTGTAGATGGAGCATGAGGTGGGCACCAATGATCTTAAGCTTGCAGTGATTGTTGCCTTGAGCTAGCTAGTGACGCTGCATGCTATTTAACCGGTATATATGGCGGTATAGGTATGCTTCTATCTCATGAAACTTAGCATATATTGTTCTTCCACTGATACAAGTACATGTACTTATCTTTCTCTAAAATTTGGTCAAGGACAATTTCGCCAGTCTCTCACTGAAAACAATTGATACATAGTTACGGATGTTCACCGCTGAATTCTGTATCATTTGAGATACATCATTTTCCACTCCTTACTTTTTTTGTTTTTGCTTTGTTTTGTGCCGTCTTTGACGACTCGGAGTGATACCGCACGTCTTCTATTTATCCGTAGCCAAGTAGACCGTAGACGATATTACCCCGCTCTGTCAATGCAATTGTCCCAATTAATGTATAAATTGGAGAGGTGAAAAGTAGTATTTCTACATACATGTATTCCTCAACCACGTCTTGGCCATTCCGAAATATCTGCTGCTCTTCTAATTTCGCCCTGCTCGGTATCAATATCATCCGTTGCATTTGTTTATCCTAATCGCCTCGACTATATGTTCTTGGGCATCGCAAAACCCTTTAACTGCATCCACCGACACTCCCCAGTCAGCTAGCTGTCCACTGTCTCAACTCTGCCAAATAGCTCATGATCAGCCATCCGAGCCTAGAACCTACAGCTTGAGTAGCACCACAAGTATTGTAAGAGGGCAGCAACGATGTCGGCCAATATTGCAATCCGTTCGGATTCTTTTCTGCCTTGCATTTACACCCGATGATGCGTACGTACGTTTCGTGTCCGTCTTCACCTGTCCTTCTGCCTGGCTCGACAGCTTAGATGAGGACTGATCAAGTGCCGATAGAATAGGTCATGTAGGGGCTACTGTATAGCGGGGTCCATCGGCTTGCCCACCCACCCACCACCACCATAGCTCTAGTACATACGCCGTCCTTACTCCCCCTCCTCCCCCGCGCGCTTTTGCCGTATACGGCACATTCTCGAGCTTAACTGTTATTCTGTTCGTTGTCTGAAACTGGATTTAGTTACCGGTCTTCAATAATCTCTAACAAGATCGATCGGGTGTTTCTCCTTAGAGGAATAAGGAGTACTTGGTACTACATTCACATCTACAAACAGAGGAGTCCGCCTGCTGACGGTGCTGGCCAAAGACATCATACATATTTACATACTGCAGGTAGAATTTCTTCCCACCAGCATGGCCGCCACCATGTGCATGTCGAGACTTGGAGTGTCCAGTGTCTGCACAAAGTCAAGTCCAATGAGGGAGCATTCACATATCTTGTGATAGAATTGCTGTGCGGGCTTGCATGTTAGGTCAATCCACTGAAATGGTGCCTTCGTCTGAGCACGAGGCGGACAAGCGCAGCTCAAAACGACATCCGTCATTGTCTGGGGCTCCCCGATTGCTGAGGGTGTGTGGTGCCCGCTCGCCGTATATTCCCCTATGTCTAGGTACGTACTACCAATGGTCAAAAGGTTGAGAACCCCTCTTATAAATAAAAGACCACATATCCCCTTTGAGTTCTCGCTCCCCCACTCTAACCACACAGTATAGTCCCTGTTACGCTAGCCATACTTGAATCTCTTCATTCCAAGCTACGACTATCATCTAAAACAAATTCGCAATCGTCAGTGCTCATATCTGGTTAAGCTTCCTACAACGAAATATTTATACCCTCCGGCCTATAACCGCGAGGACTCACCATATCCTTTATTTCTATTTCACAAGCGTCCCTCCCCCTCCAACATGACTGAACACCCTCACTCAGCCACACCATCTGCAGCCAGACGTGTTACCCTTGAGATTAGAAGGTACTTTCGAATCTCCGGCCCAGTTTGCTTTTCTTTTGATAACATTGCCACAATTACCACGTTTCCTGCTTGCTGACCTGTGCCAGCAGTTGCTCTCGCCCCTGCCAAAGACCGGACACAAACAGTATGGATGTGGATACAGTGCGTCTTTTCCCGTGCCATCAATGAAACTATTACTGACTTAATTCATAACAAGGCTCCCATAAGACAATCATCCAACCTCTTGCCTACAGACGCAAGCCCTTCATACTGTCGCGATACCGTGAGAGAGGATCAACCACAGAATACTACCAAGAAAACGTCTCGGGCTCGGCCATCTTTTTCGAAGACCAAGGGTTGCTGCGAATTCAACTCGCACAAGTGCTCGAGATGCTCCCCATCCTATCGAGTGGAAAAGAAGTATCGCAATCAAAGTCAGTTGACTCCGGGTCTATTTGATAATTTACGATCCCCATCCAATTCCGAAGACGCTGTACCTAGATGGATCCCAGCTTGTGATCCATCGACTCGCGACAGTCAGCGACAGTATTCTCCTCTTGAGAGGTTTCATCTGGAGGATGGAGTCTCATGCATCGTGGATCTTGGGAGTGGTCAGCTAAATATTTCCCAACCACGCCACTACTTGGCCTTGGCTATGGTCGACAATCTCTTTCCCTAAGAATTTGAATTGAAAATTAAGGAGTCGATAAAATGCCTCCCCCCGGAACAAAGCTCGAACCTTTCTTTTTTCTTTTTCGTTTTTAGTTTACTTTAATTCCTGTTTTTCTTTTTTTTATGCCGGTTCACGAGACCTTGAGCCTTTATTTTAAAAACTTTGTCTCTCTCTCTTTTTATTTCTCTTTTGTCTTATCTGTGGGAGTTTGTGGGATTTTGAGTTGGACAGGCTGGTATCTGGATAGGAAGGCCCAAAAGTTTGGCGTTATAGCTGCAGCGATTTCATATATATTCGGTGTTTTTGTCAAATAGATTTCAATATAATCATAAAACTGATTACTATACCATTAGCGGGTTCCTCATTGAATGGTTGATCAAGCAGGTACAATCCTTTCCGGTTCAATTGAGTGTTTTAGTCCCCATATTTTGGCCATTTCTCGGCCATATTTCTGCTGTATAAGCTATGTGCGCCGCATCATTTTACGTGGAAGAAATATGGCCGAATAATGGATTACAGGGACTCACTAACACACTCTAATGGCGAGCCTGGATCAATGGTGAATATAGACTAACTAGCCGATGAAAACCAGCAAAACAGAACTTACCCCGTTCCCTAAGCTGATCCTCATTCTTTAGACACTCCCTTTCCCATACCTGGATTCGAACGTCCTTTCACGGAGCCAAGATAAGAGGCTCTTCGATGATCGTAATTCGTGACAGCTGGCTCCACACGTGCACCTAGACTACCGGCGCAATATATTTTGGACGCCTTGTTCATGGAGCTGGTAATGGCTGATAGCCAGTGGCTTCTTAGTGACTGCTGCCAGATATACTGGCGTCGGGAAACTTGGTGAAGAAACGACGGAAGAAAGTCTTGCAAACTTATAGTCCAGAGTGGCGAAGATTTTCCTCCCCTGACTCTAATTTTGTTAACGATTTGCAATATTAATTAATCGCCCCTTCATCCCGTCGCCACATGTACAGCGGCCATAAATTCCTCACTTGTTGCTTGGTGAGCCACCACCATGGAACCATGCACCTTAATTGGCCAACAGGACCAATGCCAAGATTGGGCGAATTTGCCCGTGTCGAACCACTTGGGCAAACCACAACATCGGATGTATCAGATATATAGACACAAACGAATCAATGATGCTCATCAAGAGAGATTGTGAGAGATGGTGAGATGGCCAAACGGGGAGATGAGGATAATGCGGTGCCCCGGGTTGAAACATAAGAACATTAACGGGATAACGGAAACCCGATGATGTTACTAGGAAATTTTGGCATTAGTATTGAGGTAAAACTATTCTGTTTCCCATGGTGTTCCGACGTCTGGATAGGGTTTACGCACGTACCTGGTACAAGACGAGTTCTGCAGGTCTAAGCTGCAAGGTCGGGCAATTAGAAATTTGGATACTCCTGGAGATACCTCGCTTTTGCATTTGCATAATGCGTGTCCCAGATCACCGAGAGACCCGTGCCATAGAAATTCCAAAGTCTAAAAATTGACGAAGTTTCATAAGTGCGCTCCCCACATACGAGCCAGGTGGGGGATATCTTCTCCATACCCCTGAGTATATAAAGCCTTGTTTGATTTCTAAAAGTCAAGAAGCGACCTGCCGAGTGGTCTATCTTTCCCCAATGATGTGTATCTCTTTGTCAACGACTCTGAGGGCTTCCAGCCCCAAGATCTAGGGTGCAAAGACTTTCGTTCCACATCGCCATGGCCATCTATTTTTAATTCTAACGTTACTCGTCTCCCACTCCCGACGGCCCTTAACCACCACCTTTGTGACCCCTGTGCGTGCTTTCCCTTACCCTGGTTAATAATAGAGTCGTGTAGCCTACCTATTCGCTTATTACCGAATTCTCGAGTCAGGTGCAGCATACATAACTAATGTTTGTAAATTATGGTTCCTCCGCGTGGCAGATCGATCGAATGAAGCGTAAAAGTAAAGATGCAACGGCTACACCATATAGACAGCACCCTCGGTGATGGCTACAAAAAGTCAATCTCAATTTGTTCCTGGCGAATCCGATATGCAGGGCAGATAAAGTAACCAATTACTCCTCGTGATTTCAAGTCTTCGTTTCAGATATATGTGTATACATGTATGCAGAACGATGTCATGAGTGAACTATTTCCCGGTTTAGTGCTTCTTTCACCATCTTTCACCATGTATGATTGTGCGTGTATGTAGTTACTAATTCTTATCTGCTTATCTCCAGTCCTATAGAGATTGAGCAGACATGGTTTGCCCAAATGTATGACCATATAAGTATGGTCTCAGAATTCTCAACTTAGATTGGCCGACAGAGCAAAAACTGCTACTTCCCGTTAGGACGTCACGTGCTTCCTGAGTGGTTCATATATATCTCTACGAGGAAGTTTTTACCGGCCAGAGCAGGCGAACCATGCACGATAAAGGCTTAGGTACATGTATGTATATGTATAGTCTCGTACCCATCCCCTACTTAGCAGCAAGCTGCTCACCAGAAGCATGGAGGTAGAGGGGTTGGGGACGAGCCTAGTATATGTATATTATAGTTAGGTGTGGAGAGACATCGCTACATGTCTGCCCCTAGCTGTCAACCACTACATCAACTGTCAACCACCAGTCTCATCGAAACGTCATCTCATCTAGTCTTCTCACCTTCTGTGCCTGACTTTGTTTCTCCCTTCACTTTCTTCTTTCTGAGACTGCTCTTCTGGGTCGAGGTAACCACTCAAATCAGCGATAGTCTACCGAAAAATCAAGCTCTGGAGATGGAATGGACCCAGAGAACATCCGCACTTACGGCCGGCGAGAAGAGCTTTGTGCTTCTAAGACGTGGCAGGCAGGAACGAAGTTCTTGTATGGCTGTAGTACAGGCAAATACCTAATTTGTTCAATAATTCCGGGCCCTATGAATACTGAGCTAGGTAATTGCGGGTTCTTCAACATACGGCTATCGACGCGATCGCAATGAACGTGCGGAAAGCCTCTCGAAAATGAAGTGGGGAAAAACCTGTTGGGAAAAGCGGGTCATGCTGCATGTGATTGTGGGTAGAGAGAGACGATTGGAGGTGAGGGCGGACCTGTCACTATTGGTGTAATGGGTCTCTCGCGTTCTTGGATATTCAGCCCTGTCGGCGGACGCCCCTGGCCCTGCAGCTTTGGCCTGTCAAGAGCGATCCCTGTTGGCGTGAGTTGGGGGCGTCTAGCAATATAGGTACCTCTTATAAATTACAATTAAATATCTGTATACTTACATTTACTTACTCAGCTACTACACCCCAGCAGGTGCGTTACTTTCCACCAGCAATGGCAGCCTGCAAGGATAGTCTCCCCCGCATTTACATAAAACGGGCGAGTGATAATTGATGAACTTGGTCCAATAAATTATGGCAACGAACTAATGGCCATTACGTCATAACGCTCTTGTTAGGACCTGAAATAGAAAGACTTTATTGACTGTTAGGTGCTTGTGAGGCCCCTACGTCTCGGAATATGCGTTGTATCATGAATTATTTGTGTTAACTTTCTAATGGTGTATGTTAGGAGTTTATAGTACTCTACATAGCACCGGGGCTATTTGGTTTACGGAGCGCAACTACCATCACGCATTTTCTGTTCGCAAAGCTGATACAGAATCATGAACAGTTGAATTTTGAACATCCAGGACGCTATGTTGGCACCGAACAAAAACAAAAATTCAGAAGGCTGAAGAGGCCGTAATTTCTGATATCACTCCTTAGCCGATCGATCGGTCCTCTATGCTTTTTCAAAGTGAACTTTGTCAAAGTTTGAGAACTCATAGCGAGTGTCATTATGAGGGTCGCAAGTGCGCAGCTGAGCGTTGCCGCAATCCGGAGACATGATTGGTCCGGCTAGTTCCGAGCTTGCATGTAAAATTCGGCGATTGGTTGCGCACACACAATCAAAAGTTTACGTGCACAGCCGCACGTTTATGAAAAACTTCTGCCTTAGCTGTTTCTGCATAGAACGCCAGATGTGGTCCCTTCTAGCTGAGTATTGCAGCTCGGGGTATCCATGGCCTATCTATCGGGAATTCTTCTCGTACACGCTGAGCGAAGCTTAGAGGGGTAGTTAGTTTATTGAGTCGTCAGCTAGGGGTGCACGGTGCGTCACGCCATGGTATCAAAAGCTGATCGGCATCCCGGCGGGATAAACAGAAAAGGGGGAGGATTCTAAAACGCCGAGAGTTTTAAGATAGAGCTATATATTTGATACTATTTGTTACTTTTATTTTGTTACTGGGCCACGTAGGTTTTTAATTCTTATATATTCTTTCACTCATATTGAATTTCAAATCTTACCACCTGCAAATAGTATTGAAAAGATGAGGCCGAGGACCTTTCTTCCCGGGTATCTACAGTATGACGATAACATTTCAATACACGTCACCTGTCAGATCGATAACTGTGTTTCAGAAGCCTAGATATTTTACTCGGGTTGCCCCCCCGCCTGGCCCCCTCTTCGCTGTGGTATTATGAAAATATAGACCTGTAAATAATTTGAGATCTCAACTTCAACTTCAACTTCGCTTTCCTTTTTTTTACAACACATATCGAAACAGTGGATAGGAGCCTTCTGCCTTTAGCCTTCTTCTTAGGTTTCATGTCTGAAGTGAATTTGCAAGTACTGGTCGGCTTTAGTTACCGAGCATTTTGCACCCCCTCCTCCCGGCCACCCTCCACCATCACCACCATTCACCGCCTCTATGCAGACACGCAACTCCTCTTTGTAGCCCAATCCTCCGGGGAATATAGTTAATGTTCTCTCAGCAGATCTTTGCATGCTCTGTGTATGCCAGGCGTGAGGTGGCAGTTTGAGGTAATAAACTCGGAATATTGTGTCCGGAATACAATTAGTTCGGCCCGTCCAGTCCTCAAGACTCAACATGCTGAGTCCTCTATATAATAACCCACACATTCCATCAGTGCCTGTTGGTTTCAAAATCCCGTAATGCAAGATTTCAGCAAATCAGAGTGATTCAATTAGGATGAGTTGTAGCTAGCGTGCATGTAGTGGAGTGCCATAAAAAACAAATATCTAACCATCGATGCCTAGCCAGTCCCCCGCGTCACGGGGACAATGAATGTAGAAAAGTGTAGTTACCTAGCAGCATCTAGTACATATGCAACTAGCAGTGGAGGGGACTCGCGAGCGCGAGTTTTACTCATAAGGACTTAATTGTGTCTCTATTGCCCGTAGTTGCATGCGTCCAGCTCAAGATCCCCCCCCTCTCTTTCTCCCCGCCAGTGAAGAGACCTCTAGATTAATTACCCATGCCCCGTTGACGATACTGCCCAGTTAGTTGGGTGGTTTGGTGGTACATCTCCGTACCCCGTTGGTGATATCTCAATACCACCTAGTTTTTATCCAGTCTCCACTGTTGAGTTTGATATACCGTTTGGGGGTGCATTGGGGGTGGCATATATTTTGGGTGGGTGAGCCCGTTGCCACGCAGAGGTCAAGGTCAGGGTCAGGGTTCAACCGAGCGCGAAAAGACTGTATCGTAGTACATATTAGATAATTGCTTTTTGTTTCATCTCGAATTTCTTTTTCAAACCAAGGGGCCCAGTGTTCTCAATAAGTCACACCGGCTCGCAGTCTGACCTCGAGAAAGCTGGGTCAAATCCGTGGGACCGGACCTCTCCTGAGGTCAAGTAGCAATGCATATGGACAATCTCTTATTTTTCGTTAGATACTCGTTAACCACAAGTATTACTGCCCCTTCCCCCCAATAATTATGGTCACGAGACAAGACGAGATCAATTTGAACCTAAGTTCGCCTCATCTTGTCAGCTTGCCATATTACATTATTTAACGTTTCGAGGCCTGAGGTTAGCCTCAAGAGTTGGGTGGCTACGGGCTAAACCAAACTCGGATCAAGTTAAGAATTGGCATTCATTGGCGCCCCTATATACTTTCTACGATGAAGAAAGAAAAGATGTTCTGGCAAAATAATGGCTAACTAAAGGTCATATGCATGTCAAGCCTATTTTGGAATAATTTACATCATTTACCATTACCCGTGGGTTCTGAAACTTACCTCAAGACTTCAGAAAATGTCCTCGAGACATCTTGTCTTGTCCCAATATGCTCTTCTTGTCAGGAATCGAGATAGCCAGTCTGGTCCCCATCACTGGGTCATCAATCCCTCCAAACTAGCCACTAGAATTCTGTCTCGAATCACCGGGAATCACTCGCACATGCATTTACTGGTCAGTGCCCACTGCTGAAATATTAAATTATTCTTTATTCATGAATATAGCCACTGTAAATACTCGGGAGAGTAGATCGGAGAGAGCTCTGGTGTCTGGAGAAGCTACATATATATAAATCCTCCCTAGGAGTGATATTACTCAGGATCTAGTCAATAGTTTGGCCAACAGCTTTGAATTTTACTCTAGAGTGTTTTAATGCTGGGATTCGAATTAAGCTTTCTTGGTTTTGTTAGATTTTTCTCTGGTTTATCGCCTCATATTAGCTTCCCTTATATAGACCGCGCATCAACTGTGATAGTTCAAATCTCTATATGCTTTCTACGAGCCTTGTCAACGCCTTATGAATAAATTAATAAAACTAGTCATTACCCTTGATGATAGTAATACGAGTGATACACCGTGATGCACTCCTCATACGTACGATATACTAGTAAATGGGTATAGAGGCTTCCTGAAACAGATTATGTCAATTACCTGGGATTTCAATAGACTAGTCATCGCTTCACTCATAAAAAGCTAGAAATTTTTTTTGCACTGGGATGTCAGAATCGAGTGATAATCTATGATCTCTTTACACCCTACAAACCTCCAGGTATCATATACCCAAAAAATGACCCCTATATTTGTCTTGGCGAATGGGGCACAGATTTTCTCGTTGCTTCATAGTGGATAGGTGTGAGGGGGCGGTAGAAAGTATAGGTTCGTTTTGGTTCTCTTGACTTTTTGGTACGTAGTTCATTTTGACTTTCAGGGGTTTATGAAGCTTTTTAGCTTTTGGTTCTTTAACCTTTTGTCGGTTTTCTACTAAACCTTAAGTGTGTATCTATAAGAAACTTGGCCTACTACATACTGCCAATTCCTCTTATGAACCATTCATGTTTCTAGCTTGTTGGAGCCGCGGGGCTGGTGGTCCGGTGCTTCGTGCCTCGCCTCGGATCACAATTCGGAACAATAGAATTGGTACCCCTATCCGTCTTGACCCGAGTTGATCAATTGAGGTTCCTAATTCCAATCTGGAGGATTAGAAAGAATTGAGTAACAGTAGACCTTTTTCTCTTTCGCCTCATTTTTATGGTTACTCTTATCTACCTGTTAACGTTCACCGAAAGAAACTCCTTTGCCCGGTTTTCTATGTGTTTTAACTCAACGTTTCACAAAAGGCCCGGGAAACACCTAGACACTTTGAAACATACGTAACATACACCAACTCGAGGTATTTTGAGGCAGCCAGACGCCCATCGAAGCAGAGACAACAAAATGCACAAATCTCTCGCCTTGAGGTTCCTCATTGACAAATATATAAGCTACTCCTCCCCGAGCTCAGCCATGACCCCTTTAAAAATAACACCACTGTCTCTACTCCTATAATTTGGGGCACACAAACTACATATGTATGTGCGACCTTTCTCCTCAAATTACACGGTGGCTCCTAGCTAGTACTAGTACACATGTAGCCTATTGTACAACTGGCCGGCACCATTACTGAGTACAGAGATGCAGTTTCTGCATAAATTTATCCCTCCTTCACTTGTGCACTTTAATCGCTATGTGTGACAATCATTGTGAGTGATGTGAGTGATTTAAGGTGCAAGAATAACGCCTCCACCCGTATTACAGACAATTTCACAGCTCGTATGTAACGTAACGGATAGCGGATTCATGATCACTAATACCCAACTCGCCAGCTTAGTAAACTAAATTCCACGTAACCATCTGCACCATCAGCATTGTCGAAGCCAGTTGCATGAGCAACGATCACCACAAAACCAAACTAAAGTGTTCTGGAAAACCAGCACTGTACCTTATACATGCTTCGAAATCTTGTCTCTGAAATTCAAGACATCGATTGGAAGTCGATGCAAAGGGGGAACGGACGGAAGAAGCGGGGAAGAAAAGGAAGGATGATCTTTAATCTATCCCGATTCTGATCGCGGCGTGTAACTGCTTTGTAGATGCTTGTACTCCCTTGTACCTCCTGTACCTGTGCTGTGTCACGCCCAATCTCTTCGCACAGCCAGCCAGCATTGGACGTTACACGAATGAATTTACCCTGGCAGCTCCACGTGCACAGCCAGCCAACCAAACAGAATCGAAACATAAAAATAAACCAAAAAAATGCACGGCTCTAGTCCCCCCACAAGACAATAGGACTGTGGGCAGTAACGGCACTGCTTTGCGACTATTTTCCTTCCTTCCTTCTCTTCCGAATCGACTCGGCTCTTATCTTCAACATGGTACCCCACATTCTTACGCCGAGGACAGTTAGGTGATGTTATAAGATAATTCGGCTCTTGATACGCACCATGGTAGGGTCTAACAGGTAGGGGTTCGGAATATATTAGAGCAGGTATCGGCAAGTCCGAATTACGATTTATCCTTGGTGTTTCCCATTCCTAACCACGCAGAGAGGAGTACCTAGTATTTTACCCTCAAAAGGGCGTCATCAAATCTAACAACGCGGACAGAATAATTGCGATCCTCCTCGATAACTTACACAGATAAATTAAACTCCCGCTGGAAACCCTGTCGATATCCAATATCCCTGCCCGTATGTTCCATGGTCACACAGAACAGAATTAGAGTGGAGCAAAAGGCTTGTTTGTGCTGAGCCTTCTAATTGGTCTGGTTTTGTGTTGGTATCGCAGTGAGTCATATTCAACTCAATGAATGAAACTGCTTTGTTTGAAGTACGTATGCAACCCCACCTCTGTCAACCTCGTGATGAGTAGGTATTTTCGGATAAACCAATGACGAGAACTAGATAGAGCCCAGTATTAAATGTGCCCATGCTAGAAAATAGTAAAACAACGACCACTACTACCAACCAAGACCACTGATGTCGTAGTAGATCTCAGTCAATCATCATAGCGTGAAATTCGAAATATTAAAATAGTAAATCGTAAAAAAAGTAAAAGGCTGATATCCCTTATTTATTCCCATCCCACATATTCAACATTGCATTCCAGTGCACCAAGATTATTACAAATAAAAAACATCACATCCGTGATATTTCCCCATGATAAAGCCAGACCATAATAAAGGAAATAAACATAGAAAAAACATCGACACCGTTTAACGATACGTTGGCATCTCCTGTGCATTAACTGGTGGTGGGGGTGGAGGTGACGCGGCATACTGTTGCTGGTGTTCGTACTGCTGCTGTGGATTTGGCGCGGGGGTCTGCGGAGGTGAGATCACTGGCTCAGGCGACTGAGGGTAGTAGCCTTCGTTAGGAACTCCCTGAGGCTGCTGCTGCTGGTATTGTACCTGTTGCGGGTAGGTAACGGGGCTGTGTTCTGGGTAGACCTGCTCTTGAACTGGGTAGACCTGCTCTTGAACTGGGGCCATGGCTTGACCGTTCTCAACGTCATTGCCGTTGGGGTCTATGCCGCTGTTGTATCTCGCGCCGCGAAGATCTTTGCGGTTTTTGTGGAGAATGTAGGATGCGAGCGCGGTGGTGGCACAGAAGAGGAGGCTATTGGAGGTTCGTTAGCCTGAGTTCAAGATGGGGATTATGGATCCTTTTGGTGACACGGAGATATCTTGAGGATTTGATATCGAATTGTCACAAACCCCAATAGATCCCAGCGCCACCAGTTAAGGTCCTCGATAAGGAGCACAAAAAACTCACAAACTGAAAAAAGAAAACACCCATGCAGCTTTAAGCACGTTGCATGAGTTGCTTATCTTAGAGTTATCATAGGCGCCGCAGTTGTCATCGAAGATGCCCGTGCTCGACTCAAAGTCTCCCAATCCGGCCACCGCCACGAGCCATAGAACCACCATGAACGCATCGGTGACGACGATTGCCAACGGCAGAAGCAAGTTGATGTAGAAAAGTCCAAAGTTTATTGCCGCGTATAGAAGAGAGAAGAGGCCACAAACAAGGACAATGTTGAATTGCCTGTGTCATCAATGTTAGTACTGGTTGATATCGAGGGAAGGTGTTGAGTGAGTGCATACCAGAATGACCGAACAGTGTAGGTATCAATGAGGTTACCTGCCATACTGAGACATAAGAGGCCAAGGAACAACTGAACACCCCGTAGGGCGAGTAGTGGGATTTCTGGCCAGCGGGTATCTTTCATCATTTTGAAGTTGTGGTTTTTGTTTCTTGTATTGGATGATGGTGAAGTTGACTAACTGACTGGTTACTATATAAGCAAAAGAATGGAAGGTGGTGGGCCGGTTCTTATACTTATGTAGGAGATGCAAAAGAAACGAGAGTGGTGGGAAGATATGAGACTCGAGAGCGACGGATGTGTACAACCCCAGTGTCTCCACTTTACGTAGCACAAACCGAGATCACCGCCCAACCACAGCCCATAGAGGAAGCGAGAGTCGCCAGTTTGGGCGGCGGATGCGAGGGCTGAGTTAAATGCGACCTGCAGGCGCCTGTCACACAAACAAAAGCGAAATGCCAGAAGGATAAAATATGACAAAGTTGAAAGTTGAACGTGCTAAATTGGTTCATTCGAGAGTATCATTGGTAGAGTAGAATATTCTATTTTCAAGCCTCGTACTCTACATACCTACCTCACAACTGCACCTGGAAATCTACTTGCAACCCGCAATCGCATTTCCATCACATCACATAGCAGTTCGAGTACGTACCTACATGTACTCTAGTTCTTTACCAACAAACGGTGTGCACCCTGGATCATCGTCCCCTGATCCATAACCACGATCATCCCATAATCTTCACTGAAGAAGAAATTTTTGGCAATCCTTGTTGGGGACCTCAAACCCCCTCTTCTGGTGACATGCAGTGGTACATCGGAATATCCGTCACACTTTTCGATTAGGGGTGCCGGAGGTGGAGACATAAAACTTGCGAATACTGTATAATAAATTAATAATGTGCTATCTACCTAGAGCACTCAAATGGCGTTACCTGCTGTGCTGCGGGCTAGTTTTGACTGGGATATTTAGTCTATTTATGAGTCTAATCCACGTGATACGAGAGTTTTCTCTAGTGGGGAGAAGAGGTCTGGATATAAATCACAGCCTTGCTGTCCCCACATCTTGAAGATCAGATGGATGATAGGTAGCCTTCTACACTTCCGGTTATCGCAGGATAATTGGATAGCTGCAGGTAATCTGGAATTTATACCTACATCGGGAACCTAGTAATGAACGTCGTCTTTGTTCACCATCCTCACTCTAGAGTTGAATGGAGTTGTCTAAAAAGTACCTAATAAATGTAGTTCATACCTACTAGGGGTTCCACCTCGCGACCGCGAGTTGAACATCAAGTCCCCCCTCTACAGTTACGTGGGGAGCTTCAACGGGGCCTTCGGCCCCCTCCAGATTTTGGTGGGTGGGAGGAGCAAGCCGGGTAAGCGCAAAAGGTTTCGCAAATGGAGCTTTTACAGTACTCGGGGCAGGCAAAAAGTACCGGACAATGCAAGTTTTGTGTCTGGGCTTTTTTTGCAGTAGTTCACGCCTAGCACGCGCACTCATTGGTGAACCAAAAACCTGCATTGTCCGGTACTTTTTACCTGCCCCGAGTACAGTCACTCACGGGGTGAAGGCGGATCCTGTCTGATGGCGGTCAGGGATTTGAGGCCAATAACAGAGTTAACTTTGGGACGCCAAGGGGAAATTACTGCAAACACAACCATCAGACAGGATCCGCCGTCACTAGGTGAGCGACTGTACATATTAGATGCTCCTACCTCTTATCGTCAACCTTTCCCCACCTCACGAAGTATGTACCTCTGAAGCTTAATCACAGTCTGCTTCTTGCACAGACCTCTGCGTGACACCCACTGCATTCGGAGTTCTCCGTAGTGGTTGCACACAAGGCTCCAGAAAGAATATCGTTGTGGTTGGTGGGTTACGTGGATTTATGATATTGCCAAGCTTAGAAGTTAGAGTTGTCAGTCTAGGTACTTACATAAGTACATTCATATAAGTACCATCTCATTCGTACCGGGGTAGATTATGTAAAATCGATGCTCAAGTGTGTATCTACTCTGCGAGTCTAAGTCGCCTAGTGGTGTGACTATGATGTCATGTGCCACCAAATAAATGAGGGTCTAAAAGGTTTGGCGAGGTTGAAAGCAAGGCTGAAGGCCTATTGAGGCCCGTGGCGTAAATCAAACCTACGTGTACTCGGAGTGGAGTAGAGTACATACCTGGTAATCTTGGCCTGTGTCCTGCGTAAATAAGAACAGCCAGTGAAGTTCTACTGTCATTCACGGACACTGGGTGTTGACGGATAAGCCAAAAAAGAGACAGCCAAGCCAAGTTTTGCCTGCAATCCGTCAACACCCAGTATCCGCCAATATCCTGTGAACGACAGTACATGTCGCTACATGTATTATGCCCCTCCTTTAGTTTATACTAAGCGAGGTGAAAATGCTTGTTTCTCTTGGCATGCCAGCCTAATTGTGTCAACGAGTGATTATTCGTGATTCAATATCTTCTGATATTAATATCAAGGGAAGAGAAATGGGTTATTTTTACGTGGAAATTGATAAAGTGCAAATATGGTGCGCACACTCTTAAAGTTGACACGGCGGTATCTGGAAGTGGAACAATCGTGGCTGTAAGGTGAACTCCAAGGCCAATGAGAGGGCTTATTCCTAGCCACTTTGCTGTATTCCTGCCGCAATTCACTTTTGAGGGGGTATAAATGGGTATAATATTGTTCCACTTTGCTCAGTCTTGGCGCTTTTTACATACAAAAATACACAATTTCAACCTCTGATAACTTTACAACCCAGACAGATATCAAGAATCCGCAATGATAGAACTAAACTTCGTCACTAGTACTAGAGTTCTATCATTACGCTTTTTTTTCACCATTTTTCGTTGCAAAGTTATCAGCCATTGGAATTTCGTCGCGATCCGCTACCTTTAAGAGTGGGCGCACCATATTTTGCACGTAGCATCCGTGGTACTTGATTACCTATGTATGTGCCCCTGATGCAACGAAATCAGGAACAAACGCCACCATTTCACAGTCTCAGCCCTTGGCTACTACCGGATTGAAAATCCTACGATCGGCACTAATCAGGTTGTCGGGAAATGGAGCTGGCTCCATTTGTGTAAAGTCAAGGTAGTACGGATCCATTGGGCAATATTTCTCCTGCAGCTCATTTTTAGCAAGTTCGAAAAAAGGGGGGGAACAAAGAAAAGGATTCTGGAATACATGCACGTAAGTAAGCTTTTTGTGCTTGTATCGAGTGAGTTTCTACATTTGTGCCAAGCTTGGTTATTAGGTCAGCTGCTTGGACTAAATGTAGGTACCCGGGATAGATATGTATAGTTATAGTTTGAGACGATCGACTTGGTCAATATATTGAGCTAAGTACAATTGCTGTGAATTCTTTTTCTCTTCATTTCTGTCGGTTTGATTATTGTCGTGGAGTGTTGAGGTTAAATTCTTAAGCATAAAGGATGATGAATAAGATATATATCGATCTCGACAAAGCTTTATAAAGTGGGGATCGCTACCTAATATTTATAACGCCTTGTCCTATACACAGATCGAAGGCTGTCGGTGCATCTCTTCTCAGGCTTCCCGCAACGCGTCAAAGCCTACTCTAGAACACATCGTCTACTACATGCATAATCTTTCTGCATGATGCGCAATATCACGAGGCTTCGGGCATTACCAGCACAGAGCATTCATCTATCGCCGGGGTATGAATCCCCAGTAAGTTATCTTCCTCTGGCCGTATGATGTGCTCTACTAAACATCCAATTTCTATCCTGATTATAGTCATGGCCCCGTAGTACCGCTCCAGATCATGGTTTCGTAGCAGCCACCATGGACATGCCTAGGCCTCACCTTACCTCGAGTGCGGCTACAGTCATCACTGATGGCACATAGTATTCGTTGTAAGACATTTTGGGACAAAACACTGAAGCTCTGTCGGAAATAAATAATAATAAAGAATAATAAATAATAAATGCGGAAGACTTTGACTTTCTTAATTGACTTGCTTAACTATAATACAGGGGGTATTTTAAGCCTTTATTTATACAACAATATTGTGCCTAGAACAGTCTATATATGACTACATATTGACATATGTGCTGACACTCATATGACTATTAGGACTTTGCTCCTAGGCTCGGAACACAATTCCAACAAGCTCATCTGAGGCATCGAGTGAGTGGCTGTGTGCCAAGCCATCCACGGCCGGAACACTTGGGTGAGTCCCTGAGTTAGATGGTGTTTTGACTGAGGGCGTATCTGATAAATTGTAGCTTTGTGTAGTAAATGATAGTCTATATCGGGATCAAGGCGGAAATTGACTGGGCTTGTCCATTGTACTCACTGTCGACGACGACGGAATTAGTTATCGAGAAACCAAATAAAGCAAACGTCGCTCATACTATGCTAGGGAGAATTAAAGCTTTTAATAGCAAGAACTCCGGTCTGATATAGAGAAACCCTTTGTAAGTCGGGAAGTCGCTAAATTTCAGTATTAAAATCTCCGTTGACCATTCAATTAGGAAAAGAAATCACCTTCGACCCGCTCTACACGGCCATCTAGATCTACTGTTCTGGCAATATGCGCATACATCAACGGATATCTTGGTTCAATGCTTAGCTTATCCTAAATCATAATATCACACATATGCTGCTGCCGTTATTGAAACCTATATTATCCAACCTTCAACACCCAGAAAAGAAAATGGGGCCGGCAATTATTTCGAAGTCCGAAAATCACAAAAGTTGAAATAACTTAAAAAAAAAGATATCCTGGACATCCGCCTTCGTGTACGTCCGGTATATCGAATACGATACTTAGCTTCTCTCTCTGCTTGGAAGTCGATGTATCTTTGTTAAAGTATCGTCATAGCCCCCGGGCTTCAAACAATAAATTTAATGAATTATCCATCACTCAGCTAATTCTATATATCTTAGGAGACCGAATCCGCCTGATCTATGTAGTGATCGTCCGATACGAAAACAAATGAAACAATATGATATTCAATAGGGCTATACCATCGGTAGCATTTTCAGGTTTCAATAACTCGCCGGGAATCTTGTATGACAATGTGTGTTTTACAATTACCCGAAAACACCCACTTTAGTCTTTTTCACCTTATAAACCCCCTAAACTCATCA